TGCCTATGCGTCAAGATGACCACCAAATGAACATGTCAGATCCTACATATTTAGTGCAGAAGTGTAGCATGAGTACATAAATCAACGTGTACCCAGTAAGTATCTAGCCTAACCCAAGAGAAGTAGTGATGAGGGTTCGACATCGACACTTACTAGTGGTCCAATAAAATAATATAATACATTATAAACAGATATGAAATACAACATCAACCATGAGATAAAAACTGTAACTCACATAATTCTCCAACATTTCCTTTGATAATATAAATTTGTCGAATGTCATATGCTATCTCAACAGATCAGAAGTATCAAATATAATCTCAAACGGAAAAGGAATACCATATATATGCCATGTCTCAATAAAAGAAGGCATCTCACGAGTATTCGGACTCGTACGGTGTTACGCACGATTATGCCGATGTCGTACGGCCCGATCCAGAATGGTGTGTACACTGCCGAGGGTCGACCGGCGCAAACCAGAGATGCATCTCAATATGTTGCCAGGGTGTTCGGCCTGATCCACAGAAAAAAAAGAAACTTATCAAATTACAAGTCACGTGCATACAACACAAGTACATGAGCATAAAGTAAATATAACTTTTACCGTTTATCAAATATCTTGCCAAACAACTCAAGGTGATAAAGCTCGTCCTAATATATTCGCAAATCAATTTCAATTATAAATTCAATTAATTAAGCTAGCAAATTGAGTTCAATTAATTTAAATATTATATGATAAAGTCCTAAGTCTGCCCGTACATAAATATGGTGTAGCTACGTACGGACTCTCGTCACCTCGTGAATACGTAGAACCCATAACTAGTAGCACATAACAATTTGATACCTACGGGGTAGTTTCTCCCTCACAAGATTAGACATGAGACTTACCTCGCTCCGAAATTATGCCTCTCTAGCTCCTCAATTCAAAGCCACATGATCCGAAACTAGTCAAACAACATGCAAACCAATAAAAATATACTCATGCACTCATAATTAGCTAATTTATAACAATCCGCTCGAAAAGTCAACTCTCGGGCCCATGTGCCCGGATTGCAAAAATTTTCAAAGATAAACACTACTCATAATACCACAAACCTAAATATATAATTTATTCTCAATTATGTATCCAATTTCGTGGTCAAAATCCAAAAATACCAAATTCTAGGTCTTCTCCAAAAATTACACAATTTCCATAAATTTTCATGTTTAAATCCACATATAATTCATGTAGTTAACTCACAATGTGTAGAAATCACTTACCTCGAGATTGATGATGAAAATCTCCTCTTTAAGAGCTCCAAAAATCGCCCAACCAAGTAAAATGTGAGAGGAATGGGCTAAGTCCCGAAATAAAAGTTCACTTCTGCCCAACGATCATTGCACATGCGGTCACTCGACTGCATCTGCGGTCCTGCAGCTGTGAACAGCCCCCGCCTCCAGCATTTTCGCTTCTGCGGACAAGGATCCGCTTCTGCGAGTCCACTTCTGCGGAATTTCTCCGTTTTTGTGCGTCTTCATCCCATGGCCCGTATCTGCTTTTGCGAAAACAAACTTCGCACCTGTGGACGCGCACATGCGCTTCAACCTCCGCATCTGCGGAGAACCACGCTTCATCTCTTCTTTGCTTCTGCGCTCTTCTGTCCGCATCTGCGATAAATTTCTCGCACCTGCGAATCCATCCAGGCTCAACCCCAACCGCTTCTGCGACCCTTGGGCCGCTTCTGCAGTCTCGCACCTGCGGCCCAAACCTCGCAGGTGTGATCACACGAGAAGCCTTAAGTTTCAGCAATTCTTTAAGTCCAAAACTCGATCCGATTCCAATCTGATTCGCACCCGAGGCCCTCAGGACCCCATCCAACCATACCAACGCATCCTAAAACATAATACGAACTTAGTTGAAGCCTCAAATCACGTAAAAAAAATAACAAAAGTATGAATCGACGGTCAAAACATTTCTTTCAATTTTCAAACATTCAAACTTTGTCGAACGCTTCCGTATTGCACTTAAACATTCTGAATGATGCCGTGCAAGTTACAAATCACGATACGAACTTATTCCAAGGCTCGGAACCCCAAACGAACATCAATAACGCCAAAGTTCACTACAAATCAAACTTAAAAAATTCTAAAACCTTCAAAATGTCACTTTCTACAATAAGCGGTGAAATACTCCCCGACCACCTGATACTCAACCGAACATACACCCAAGTCCGAAATCATCTTAGGAACCTATTGAAACCTTCAAATCCCGATTCTGAGGTCATTTACTCAAAATTCAAACGTTGGTCAACTCTTCCAACTTAAAACTTCCGATTTGAGAATTTTCCATCTGAATCAACTCCAAACTTCTCCAAATTTAATTCTGACTATGCGTACAGGTCATAAAACATGAAGCGAAGCTACTCAAGGGCTCAAATCGTCGAACGACGTACTAAAGCTCAAAACGGCCGGTCGGATCGTTACACATCCCACAAATCCTTTAACTTCAAATAATATGCCGATACAGACAAGGTTCCTTGCGTTAGGGTAAAAATTTCTTTGTGTAGATAATACATTCGTGAAGAATTCACCTTATCAAACCTCTCACGAAGGTTTTCCCAGATTGCTAGAGCACTAGGGCGAAACAGAACACCACTTAGCAAATCATGCCTTACATTGTGCATTAGCCATGATTTGACAATTGCATTGCAACGATCCCATAGATGATTGAACCTAGTTCCATAGGTATCTCTGGTGATCGAACCATCAACAAAGCCCAGCTTGTTTCATGTTTGCAACAAAACATGAAACAGATACAAAACATCCATAGCTTGGCTCCAAAGTGTAAAATTTTCCATTCCGATCAATTTAATTTTCAATGTAAGGGAACTTGGTCTATCAGAAGGATGCAGATACAAAAGAATGATTGTGATCAATCACAATCGATTCTTGCATGATTGATTATTTAGAAAATTCTTATTCTTCGACTGTATCTCCCGCCATTGGAATTGGGGCACAAATCAATAAGCAAATTTTTGGTGAATCTCTTGATTTTCGACTAAATTCGTGAAGAAAACCCCTAGATTCACACGATTAATGCTTGGATTCCATGTTACTTCTCACAGTTTTGGAGAATTGAATGGAAGCAAATAGAGAGGATCGAGTTGCAGAGAAAATGTAGAGAAAGAAATTGTGAAACAGATTTTCTGTTATTCTCACTTAACCGACTTTGTGTTCATTTACACTGTTAATATATAATGAACAAACGAGCGACTCTAGTTAATTAGTCTAACTATTGTCTAAACAATGACCGTACACCTAAGTGACAGTTGTGGAGTCGGTGAGTTCCTCTACAATAATTACTTTTGAGTTTGCGGTGAGAGAAGGTTTATCTTTTAGATGAAGCTATTTATAAATATAACATGTCTGTCTTTTGAAGAACCAAACCACTTTCTGTTCTATTTTACAATATACATCATAGTTATCGTATATATACTTCCCCCATTATAATATTCCAATATAGTTGTTGACTTTAATTTATTATGATTATTAAGAGAAAAATTGTATATAAATTAATTTGCTAAAAGAACATGTAGGCGCCATTAATAATTTTGCAGTAAAAAAGAGGAAAATATTTTATTCGTATTAAAAAGAGTTAAAAGTAGTGTTATTGATGACTATTTTTGCAGAATTTTCCATTAAAAAGTAGGAGAAATATACTAAATTATAACATTTTGGGCCAAAGAGTACCGACTAGTATATTCCATTATATGGCTTTTTTCACTTTTAGTCCGTACCAGAAATTATTAATATTTTGTAGTCGAAAAAACATATAATTTTTATATAATTTTTGTATATAACAAATATATATATATATATATATGNTATTTTTAGAGCGGCTATACAGTATATTTTTCCTATATTTTTATATTATGGTTCTTCCATTCATATAATTTGGCGCGCAAGTGCAAATTTATCGATTTTCTTTTGTTTCTACTAGTATTATTTTTGTTGAGTTTAATTCATACTGTAGATTAATCAAATTTATCATGCTTGTTCACTCTATGCTTACAATCAACTGCACATGTTTCGACATTGAGCTACCTATATCCATTTGTAAATTTTTTGAGCATTGATAGGGTTACAATTTAGACATTTAACCACTGTAATTTTGCACAAAGTATTAGAGTCAGACCTCATATAAGAAGTTAAAACTTAGAAGGCACGGCTTCCAAAGAAGTACTCCCTCCGTTTTAATTTAAATGGCATTTTTCTTTTATCAAGAGTTAAATTGCGTGAAGTTTGACCAATATTTTAAAAATATATTTTGTTATCATATTGACATGAGAAAAATTGCAACTTATAGTATTTTTCGTTTAGTTTTTTAATATCTAAATTTTAATTTTAAAATACTAACTTGAACTAATTTAATTTAACTTCAAAGTTTAGTCAAATTGACTCTCGATAAGCAAAATGTGTCATCTAAATTGAAACAATACAATTTTGTGGTAAGACTTTGAAAAATCATATATGTAAGAGGAATTTCTCCCCTGTTTTGGGTTTAAAGTTACGTTTTTCTTGACGATTTTGTGAGTGTACGCGTATTGGAAGAGTAATTTGTATTTTATCTAAGGTTTATTAACATACGCAGTTTGCTTAATTGTAACTAATAACCCATCTAACATGCGAGTAGTAATTTCGTCAAAAAGCATTTAATAAGAAATATCTAACTACTTTAAATGGACTCTGTAAATTTTCACTCTGTGAAGCTGTAAGATTATATAAGCAGCTACCCATGCATTTCAAAATTTTGCTTCTAGTTTACACATGTTTTAATGCTGAGAAAATTTGATACTGTACAATTCAATTCCACATTACTATCTCCAAATAGCCATTCCTATCTAACTTTTCTGTCGTGGAGCCTTGACTAGGCCGGTTTCCTTTTTTATTTTTGTTGTAGTGATTTTCTTGTTATGATACTTTAAGAAAATCATGTACTACATATTAATATGCAAATAAAGTTCAGTAGAGAATCAACTGCATACAAATAAATTGATCACAAACCACTCCACATTCCCAAATAATCTAATCATTCGCTACAAAGCCAAGAGGGAGCAATAGATTTCCATATACAAGCACATGTTTGACACACTTATCATATTTATATCTCTCCGTTGTTTCCTTTTGTTTAAATAACACCCCAAAGCTAGTAAGATTAGCAAGAGCAAGAAGATATTTTCTTCATCTCGCTAACTTCAAAATCAGAACCAGAAATAACATCAATCTTCAACCCTTTAAGCAACCCATTATTGGTTTCTTTGATGTGATTTCCATTAGCAGCAGAACCTATCAACAAAGTCTTCCTTGACACCACTTTATATATTTCTTCCAATAGTTTCAAGAATGCTGACTCTACATTGTGGCCGCTAAGAGCTGATGTCTCAGAGAAAAATAGCCCTTGCCTCTCTGCAAATTCGACTGCATCTTCGGTTGGAACTGCCCTCAAATCGACTAGATCGGCTTTGTTACCAATCAATGTGATCACAATAGAACTATCGGCATGAGCCCTGAGTTCATCAACCCATCTAGCTACATGATCGAAGCTCTGTCTCTTTGTTATGTCGTAAACTAACATAGCTCCTAGTGCTCCTCTGTAGTATGCACTTGTCACTGCTCTGTACCTGTTCGATACAGGGGCCAATGTTTGTACATTATAGGCAGGGAAAAGTATGGATGTACCTACTGTCTCAAGCTCAAAAGAAATAAATTTCTTGGTACTAAGTCTGATTTAATACACTGCCTGTTTAAGTTTGTACCCTCGTCTTTCTACATATCGTACTGTAACTAGGAAGGTTGTGAAACTTTAAACTAGTTAACCAAGATATATTCAAGATGTCAGAAAACACTCATCTAGATTACATTATGTTACCATTCTAACTTAAAACTGATCTCATGGACTCATCAAATATAGTATAGTGCGACATAAATTTGATTGTTTAAGATAATTCATTTGAGTGAGAAATTACAATTAATTGATACAACCACATGACTAGGAAAGCAACCTGTACAATGTGCGTGTTGAAAATCGCTATCCTCGGCTTCATTAATGTAGTTGTTAGGGAGGGTAAAATGGCATGTGGTAGCTGAAATAACGTTGTCATAGTCCAAAAACACGATATATTAGTAGCGACGGAAGAGTTGGGCCCTCATTAAGTTGGATTGTGAAAGGTAGTAGGTTCAATCAACTTACTAACTCTACAAATGATGTTGCTGGACCACTGTACTTAGCTTGACTAAACAAAACTATAATCTCTCAAATTTAACCCTATTAGGCAACAATATTGACTTAGTAATTGCCCCAGCGAAAAGCTAAATCATATTGAGTTGAAAAATATGAGCAAAACCAACAAACCAGAAGTCATGATGAAACTAAGTGGAAGGGAAACTAAAACAGGCATTATGTGAAAATGAATGAACCAATTAATTAGCACAATTGAGAAGACCCTGGCGGTCCGGCCTTTCACGTGAATCCCGTGCATAGCGGGAAATTAGTGCATCTTGATGACTTTTTTTTTATAAGAAGAGAGAAAAGAAGGAAAAGAAAGAGAGAGAGAGGCAAACCTTTCTTGGCCAGCAGTGTCCCAGATCTGGGCTTTGATGACTTTGGACTGAATGGAGACAGTCCTAGTCTGAAACTCTACACCAATGGTAGATTTGGAGTCAAAACAGAACTCATTCTTAGCAAACCTGGAAAGTACCTGAGTTTTCCCAACAGCAGAGTCCCCTATTACCACAATCTTAAACACATAGTCTATCTTAATATCCTCATGAACACCCCCATTCAAACCTTTCATTTCTTGCTGTTGCTTCTGATCGTCAACTATAACGCCACTCATTTCTTGGTTCATCTTGTAAACCAACTGCTGCCTGCTTCTATACACAAAAATAACTTAAGAATGATTTTGTACCAAATGATCTGTTGACTGTTGGGAGTCAGAAAGAAGAAGAAGAAAAGCTTATATTAACTCCTTTACTTTACTGGTCCGCAAAGGCTGATGCAATTGTATAGGGTGACACTGGACAGTAACCTGACATTACTCGTTTCAATTGTATCACTGAGTAAATGTGTGTATATGTCGGTCTGTGTCAAAATTTCAATTTATGGGTACAATATAGTACGATTTAATGTTCATTATATTGAAAGACTGGTTTTTTAAACTGCTTTGCCATCTCACATACTCATATATACGTTGTTTCTAAAGTGGAGTAGTAGGGTCTTAATTTCAGGCGAAATGCCCGGGAAAAATGTGACGCAATTAGCCTTTCAAGAAAGCAACTTATGATTGTCGAGGTGTGCCTTATAATTACAACCAACCTTGAACCAATTATTAAAGTTTAACTAAAGCTAAAGTTATTTGGTTAGGTATGCAACCCTACATTTGACAACAATATGTGTCCCTTGGCCAAAATAAAATGATAATAGTTGGCGGATCAAAATTTTTTAGTATATTGGTGCACTATTAAAAAAAATGAGGAAAAAATATATTAAGTGAGAATTGATCCCTATTCGTCTTGAAAATTAACTTAACATTCAATCAAGTGCATCATTCAACCTTCTTGAAAGATGGGTGTCAACATTTAATATTATACTAATTTTAGAATTCTATTGCATCAACACCAAGCTGAGGAAAGTAAAAAAATAAGTCCCTTATCTTTTAGGAGTCAGTCTAATTAAAAATATACCTGGCCAGTTTTAGATTATTTTTTTTCCCACCAAATTGAACACCTGTTGTTTTCGTTATATTTAAACCACATGGTCTAATTATGTTTAACGGAATTGTGAGCTGTTTAAACTGAACTCATGATGACTGCTCCTTATTTCATTTCTCCTAATTTGTATTTAAGAAAAAACCTAACTTTAGGATTTCAACAACAAAAGGGTGCTATTGAGGATTCTAAGGATACATCAACACTAATTCATTTGCAATGGTAGAAAGAAGCGTATAATGAGTTCAATCCGCCTCTTAGTTTCTTTAGCCTAAACAGCTCATGTGCGTCTAACGGACCAGTGCTGCCAAACATAACTAACTCAGCATGTTTTAACTATAATGAGGATCAAATGTGCTCAGTTTTGATTAATATAAAGGGCTAAAATGCTTAATTGTACATTTGAAGGATTATTTTAGACCAACCCAAAACATAAGTAACTATTTTTGCTATTTTTTCTCCAAGCTGCAACCCCTTGTATTTATTAACCTTTCATTCTGCCTCCCCTCTAATAAAAAAGGAAACTGAAAGAAAAGAATAATTGAAGCAGGGCATCCACAAGTGTGGTTAAAACAGTCAAATGGGTGCACATTTTAGAGATTAAGATTGAAATTCCATTAAAAAAAATTAGGTGAAATCTTTCCATTTATTGGAGCTTCCATGGACAGAATTATTAGTTATTTTTATTGGTGAAAGGTGATAGATATCCTGTAAATCTTCAACAGGGTTGTTTAAAAGAATAATGAAGGGGTTTTTTTTTGGGGGGTGGGGNGAGGTTTGGTATTTTGGAACCGTTGTTGATGTAAGGCTTGTTCTTGCTTATTCTACATCCCAAATATTATATCTTTTGGGGAGGGGCGTTCTTAATGTACTGTTTCAGGCAAATTCAAATAACGACATAAATGTACTCTCATGCAATCTGATAACTCTCCGACACAATGCTATGCGCTGACGCTTTGGCGAAAGAAGCTAAGCCAGACAATGACCAAAGCCCTACTATTGGGCGTCTTTTACCGAAGCCAGAAGCATTGTTTGCTTCTGTAGAACAAAGTTCCATATGGTAATTGTAGATTTCCCCCTGAAGTAAAAAGTCATGATTGAGTGGTCAAAAGATAAAGTGGGAGAATCACATTTACTTCGGAACGGCCGCACACCGACACAATTATTGTCAATTTATTGTCTAAACCAAACACCTTATTGTTTACCCTAAAAAATAATAGATAATAATTAAATTTATATAAGATTTTAAGAATACACAAATTAATTCAATACAAATGATAAATTGTGTTAGATTAAACAGATAAATAATGTAATAAATTGTCAAACCAATTAGGGGGAGGGGGAGGGGGGAGGGTCTTCCCGAACTCAATAACAACTTTAATGAAATGTCTGCCTTCGATCTCGGGCTCACGATAATGAAGAACTGATAAACAAAAGTAAGAACTTTGAATCACAGAGAAAATAAGAGTATATTGCCTTGATATGCGTGTTACAATGATACCTAATGAATAGTTAGACTCCCCTTTATATAGTGGTCGGGGAGTTTTACCCTAAGTATAATTCCAAAAGAAGTAAAAATCTTTCATTTTACTAATCACTGATTTTCTGTCGATATGTGCTGAGATTCACGCCGTAATATCCGACTGGGCACGGATATCACAGTCCTTTGTTTATCGTGCTCGATTATCTGATAATGCTCTCCGAAGTTTTGGGGTTCGAATCGGGCTTGGGGGACATGGCTCTGATTCTTCCGAGGGCAGGTGTATTGCCCGGACCCCAATTCGAGGGGCTCCTTGCCCCGACTCCAGTTCCTTACAGTCATATCTCTGGTCAGTTTACTTCATCGGGAACAGAGGTGTCCAAAAGGCTTGGTTTCACCCGTATACATATATTGAGTAAGTACATACTTACGTTTATGTAGGAAATGCCATTGTCAACTTTAAGAATAACGTTAATTAGACCGGACTTTCTTGTGTAGGCCTAAAAAATATCCTTAAAAGGGAAAAAAGAAAAAGCTGGTGATTTATAGATGTAATTTTGATATTTTCGAATTGAATAATTACTACTTTGATTATGTTATCATTTTATTTAGCATTAATCAAAATGTTAAAGGTCATTAGTGTATAGAAAAAAATACGACATGACACGTGGCCGCTTAAAGAAAGGACACATGGAATACAAGATGGGGTGGTCACCGAACATAGCTGTTCCACTTGTCACCAGAAGGAATAACGATCATAAATTGAGTATTAAATGCTTTGCACCCGTTAACATTTAATACAGAATATTTTGTAGCATTAAGGATGATGGTCAGTTACAAGGAATTTAGCATTTATGTCCAACTTTACATCTTCATCAATGGCCCTCATAATTGACATTAAAGAAGGGCATGATTCTAGAACTTCCTTCCCTAGACATAGCTATAAATAGGGAGCTCAATTATTATTGTAAGGGAACGAATTTTCTGGCTAACTTACGCTATATTCTATACAGCATTTTAATACAATTTTTTTCTCTCGCTTTTGATCTTATTATTGTTGTGCCCGGAAACCTTGTTCCCGGACTCATTAGTTCTTCTGTTTCATCTACATTCTAAGGCTAAGTATTTCATTTTCATCAGTTATGTCATTGCTTTTTGGATCAAATTAATTCACTTGTCTAGAAACCACGAATAAATTCAACTGTACCATTTTTTGGGTAAACAGTTTGGCGCCCACCATGGGGCTTAGACAACCATGAAGTTAAATTGATCCTTGCCTTTTTTACTAACGTGTCTTGATTACTTTGTCTTAGCAAAAAATCACAAAAATGACAGATAACACTGTTAACGGCACACGCAGCCCTGAAATCCAAGAGGAACAACTTCATTTCGAGAATTCAATCAGTGACACTCGCAATAAGGGGAACCACGCCACACTGGTACATGACAGGCGGTTCCCTCGACAGGTTCGGGAGGCAACTCCTGATGATGCTGATGAGGAGCATGTAGCGGATGCAGTAAGGGGCCTGCAAGAGCAACAGACAGTCATTCTAGGCCATCTCACGCGACAAGATCAGGTTATGAAGGAACTAAAGCATACGCTATCAGGTGCTTCAAATAATGCGAATAGCGGAGGTCCAATTCTTCCCGAGGTTCCTGCAAACTAAACGACGCGGAGAGTCGACAAAAATACTCCCAGGGGCAAAGTTGGCTCCGACAAGGCCGGGGAGAGCAGATCTAGCCTCAACAATGATAACGACCCGTTCAAGGAGGAACTTTTACGGTTCATGAAGGAAGAAAACGCCTGCATGGATCAAATTTACGACCCCGCTACCAGTATTGAAAGGCCCAAACTCGAAGAAGTATATGCAATTACCGTACAAGCCGAGTGTAGCCCCGAAATTAATCCTGAATAGGTTCAAAATGCCTGAGGTGCCGAAGTATGACGGAACTTCAGATCCATAGGAGCACATTACCACTTACACAACAACAGTGAAAGGAAATGATTTGGCTCCTCATGAAATTGAGTTTGTGTAGCTGAACAAATTTGGTGAGACTCTCACGAGGGGAGCTATAACGTGGTTTTCACGACCCAAACTGATAGGCCGCGACGGGCACCCGGTGCCTTACTCAACCGAGTACCAACGTAACATATCTTTCTTATCATACTATCATCGGCAAATGGGCCAAACGGGCCGTCATGGGCTAACCAGAATAAACATAAGGGATTACTCAACCTGATATAAAAACTTATACATGTGACATACGGGCCTATAAGGCCAAAATGATCACTCATACACTGAACATAGGCCGACAAGGCTATACTATCTTTCATATACATGACATATGTCTACAAGTCTTTAAGAGTATATCAATACCATAAAGGTCGGGACAGGGCCCCGCCATACTAATTAATACACGTCCAAATCATACTGACCAAATAAGCAACTCCGGAGCAAATGGAGCGCACCAACACCTTCTGCTGAGTTGATAGCCTACTTGGAGGACTCTCGACCTGTCTATCGGGATCTGCGGGCATGAAACGCAGCATCCCCAGGTAAAAGGGACGTCAGTACAAATAATGTATTTAGTATGTAAGAAATGAAAATCGGTAATTAATAGACATGAGAGAAACATGGAGTGAAAGACTCGACATGTAAGTCTGAATAGCTCTGTGAATTATTTAATATTTAAAATGTCATGCATATGCATATAAATGGCATACCATGCATAGGTATATGCATTCATAACATCATCAAGCCTCTGAAGGCATCCCATCATATCATCTCGGCCACTTGGGCAAAATCACCAATGTATACCAGTTGATCAGGTGGTGGTGCGTATATAACGTCGTAACCTTTTTTCATATCCCATAT